AAATGAAACATTAACATCACAAGAAAAAAGGAAATGATCACCAACTTAAGACCCTATTGATTGTTAGACAAATTCTCCTTGCAAGTGCCATGAGAAGTTATCATTAGAGGAGAATGTAGTATGTATGGAGAAGATGCAAAATGATCTCAGGGTGTAAAGGGTTAAAGGCTCAGAGGTCTACAGTTGAATCTGGCAGAAACATTGATTATATTTTATGAGTTTCATTCTTTCATTCTGTTAGGAAAAGCAATCCTTAGGATGTTCCATTAGCCTGCAAAAATGTATGATGGCTGGCTTATTTCTTCTTTTTTTCTACAGCACCTAAACTTCCTACTCTAACTAGCAGCCATTTTATAACTATAAATAATAAAATTCCCCTACTCTCTCTTAACCAGCATTATCCCTAGCTCTAATCTGAGTATTTAGATAGAGGTTTCAAATAATTTTTCCCATAACCAGCAGCCAATGGTGTAATAGGCTGCTGTAAAACAAGGCAACATCTGAACACAAGAACCAGATTGCTGGTTACGTAAATGGCAGTGACGGGTCTTATCAGTAGACAAGGACAGACTGCCAGTAACTGGCTTTCATTGAATTCCCTGATTTACATTAAATCCAACATTGATTCGGTTTGTATGAAGATTGATTGTTGTAAATTGAAATAAATTTTTGAAGGACTTAATGTTTGCTCAAAACGGTACTATACTGGGGTGTTATATCTTTCCATTTAGGTTTTCTTGTACACAATGTTGCGTCACCAGTTTTCTGTACATGTATTTGGGTTGTACTTGAAATTAAAGTTTCTGAATATTAAACTGCCATCTTGATCTTGTCTTCTCCATTTTCTGGACTTTGCACTAATACAATACAGTTATAAAAATAAGATTACAACACACAAACCTCAAATTGAGTGACTGCACAATACTTCTCACTTCCATCTGCTCCAGTATATTTACTTCTGTAAAATCCTTTCATTTTATCATTTAATTCTCCTGTGAAGTCCAAGAATAGCTGACCATTTCCCAAGGGGAGAGACGAGGGGAAGCTGATTGTAGTTGTTTCATCCTCTTTACTGTAAGTGATTTCAGAAGAGTCCACAGCTACCGGTACATGAGAATATTGAAAAAGTTATCACCTTAAGAAATAGATTCCACATTGCAGTCCATCGGTTCAGTAATAGATCACAGATGGCATCAAAATTTGGGAAAGACAAAAATGTAGCATGAACTTACTTGATCCACCAGCTGAGAAATTAGCAGACTTAACAACGATGTCCAAACAGTTCATAGTCACTTTGTCTGTAGTCTGTTGAACCTATAATGAATATTAGAACAACATCATAGCTCTGAAAACCAACAGCAATTTATTCCTACTGGTGTTGTACATATTTCCATCAAAGAAATAATCATTTACTCTTCCTGATCTCATCCGCAAAACTATTAATGTCCCCTATCAACCCTGAGAATAAAGGAAATGATCACCAACTAAAGATCTTGATTGTTAAACAAATTCTCCTTGTACCACCTTAGGAAATGTCTTGTGAACAGTATGGAGAATATACATACTGATATTAGGGTGTAAAGGGCTAAACATATGATCGCCCGAATCACCCACCCTCTCTCCCCTCCCCCAACCTTCCTATTCGATTCCGGCCTCTCAACAGTTCAGTCGCTTTTGCTGTGGCGTCCAGAAACGTGAATAAAGGACACATGACTTTCGAGAAACATTTTGTAAAAAACATAACGTTCTTATAATCTTAGAACCGCTAAAAATCTATTACACATTCATTTTGGGACAGGAGCGGAGGAGGGCCAACATATTTCTATTAAACCCTGTCAAAAATGCATTTTAAGGCAGTCTTCCCATTTTCTTAAAAAATTCCACAAAAATTGAATGAAAATCCAAAATTGTATGGGTTGTAACTGTGTGCTTACCCGTATGGGAACAAGGAGATCGCGAGCGCTTCTAACATGAATTTCCTCGTAAAAATTCAATGCAACACTGAAACTCCCGCATTTATGAATGACCGATCGCAATTGCCACTCGGAGAGCAGCTTCGTGAATCATTATTACTTTTTAAACAAATTTAACCACGACTTTCTTACCTCCACATCGATAACTTCTTCCCCAGCGAAAGTAAATTCAGTGAGATTGGGTGTTAATGTCAGTTTGTAGTTCTTTGGAAGCACGCTCGTTGGAAGTCGTTCAAAAGGTTTCTTTTCCTTCATTGTGGAGACAGCTACACTTTTAAACAACGAATTTGACACACACACAGAGAAAGAGTTCTTAACCAGGTAAACGGAGTTCTGAGGCCTTAAAATACGTTGCAAAAGAAATAACGAAAGCGGAAGACTCCTCATAAAAGTGTCATGTGCTTTCAAGAACTTTACGAAGACCACACGGACATTTTCCGAATAACCCCACGGTTCATGCGAAGCAATATCGGAAAGATAGGTCCGCGGAGGCGTACTAAGTAATAGCCCATAAAGCTAAAAATACAATCATTCCACGGGGAATGGCTTAATACAGGGGTAAACCGTTTTTTTCGGGATAAAGGGGTAAGTTTCTAAAGAAACTGTGGTGCTGCGTCGGTGGGGGAGTATAGCAGTTAATTAAGTGTTAACAACTGGGTTGAAAACGTAAATTAGCCACCGTAAAGGGTAAAAAAGCTGACGTTTCGAGCGTTAGCCCTTCTTCAATCGCTCTGACGAAGGGCTAACGCTCGAAACGTCAGCTTTTTTACCCTTTACGGTGGCTAATTTACGTTTTCAACCCAGTTGTTAACACTTAATTACCCGTTTTTTTCGGGGTTTCGCAGAAGAGGAGCAATACAAAAAACGCTAAAAAAGCGCCATTCTATGCCATAATTGACCATAAATGAACAAAAACTTGCTAAAAAAATGCTGCTAACATTGATTTAGGGGGAGAAACAGATTGAATTTTACTTCAAAGATCATTCTTAGTTTTATTTGAGTGGTTCCGCTCTAAATGACCGTTCAATACAGGTGGGAGACAATACAAACAGGCCGTTGGGACTTACTCAAAGGTTACCACGACCGCTTAATGGAGATGACTGCGCAATAGAAGCAAAAATTACAGCGATTATTTATATACAAATTCGGAACTTCGACAACCGACCGCTTAATACAAGGTGACCGCTTAATGCGGTGTCGCTTAATACAAGTTCGACTGTATTCTGCTTTGACTTAGTGCTAATTAAGACATTCTGTTCCAATGATAACACTTATCACAGACTAAGGTTAGAAAGAGGAAAGGTTGCTATGCAACCAGATAATGTCTTCTGTCTCATTTGTCGTAAAAAAAAAACTCAGTCTTGCTTGCAATTACCTGTGGTACAGCGGAGCAATCGATGAGACGAAGAGAAACATCGTTGTGATAAGAGGCAATCAGAAACATTCTCGGTAAGATTCTTTACGGTACAATTTATAGAATAGACAATTTAAAGTAAAGTTTAGGGTAAAATTTATGGCTATTTGAATTCATAAACCTCGTTTCTTTATCTTAGGTCTGTCTATTTGCATCAGTTAATCAGAAAACGTTCCCCTTTAACAAACTACTCCAACATAACAATATCTTTTTGACTTCATCGATGAATACTCTTCTTATGTTTTCGTTCACTTGTCGACAACCGACCAAAGAAGCCCTCCATGAAGTTACGAAAGGAACATTTTCCGACATGAATAGGAACTTTTCAGTTAACCCACCGGAAAAAAATATGAATTGTTAAAACTAAATGATATGCGATAATCTATGAACGAAAACATGCACGTGTTTTGTCTGCCTCTAGACCTAAGAGCAAGAAAAAATTAAATACTTTCTAATGAACGCAAAAAAGTAAAATAAATGTGTTTTTAGCACTTGGTTGCTCAAGTTTGACTTTTTAACAATTATAAATAATTAATGTCATTAAAAGTAATTACATGACGAAACTATCTCATTAATTAGAATTACTGGAATGTAAGCAGCAATTTCAAGGTAGTTAAAGACATCTTTACTGATGCCATAACAATAAACATGCATAAGAACATAATGAATCTGAGAGACCGAAGTAGTAAATTTAGAATATTGGATTGAAAAAGTTTCTGGAAATCTTGAGTTTTCTGCGACTCTTTGCTTTAAAAAGTCCCTTGTTTCTGTAAACGGCGTTGGATGGTAGCGATCTGCAAACGATGAAAAGTAAATTTGAACCAAATTTCAATTTAATTCACCCACAACCTGGCAAAAAGCAAATGTACGAATGTAAATACAAATGTTATCATAAAATTCAAAATCGAATCCCAACTGATGAAACAGCTAAGTGTCTTTGTGGCCAGCTCTATAAGCTGGTTTTTTTTATAAGTTTTCTATATATTTCAGAAATCAGGAAAGATGAGTTTGTTGCGGAGAGGTCGGAATCTGTTTCAATCTTACAATTACTGATCTTTGAGATAGACTAGCAGACGGCAGAACTTGGTCCAAGAATGTTTTTACTACCAATCATAACCAAGAAAAAACTTGTAAATAAGCTCTCAGAAATGAGAGAGATAGTAAAGAGGTATCTCTAACTTCTAATGTGAGGACGCATGATTACAAAAAGAAATGGAAGGTTGCAGATTGGAGGAAAAGTAATTCATCTGACTTAAAATAAATTGCTCCTTACAGTACAGGTGGATAACACTTCAATAAAGGAAGGTGCAGGTTGTAATTACGCTTTGACGCTCATAAAAAATAGTTATGTAACAAAATGGGATTTTCTTCCGAAAATATTGTAATCGATGCAGGAAAAGACGAATTAAATCATCTTTTTGTGATATATTATCTCACCATTTTAGTATATACTAAAAAGAGCTATTCCCCTCAGTGTCAGCGCTTAGTGTTGAATATTTACCTCGCTGCCTCATATCTACGTAGATATACACCATTAGCCACCTCTCCTTCGGTGAAGAGTTGTTAATTGTCATTTTAATGGCTTATAGCAGAACGAGCCAGACAGCTGGTAATAGTTGCGGTTTTTACACTGGAGCCAAACTACACGAACGATTTCAATATTGTCGGGATTTTCCGATTTACAACAGCAAAAGCAGATACACTGTTGCAAGTTAGTCATCATAGCATTCTCTCTACAGTTTATAGCGGTATGTAAGGCTAATGGTTGATTAATCTAAACGCTAAAAAAGCAAATTCTTATTTTTTCTCTATTTTCGCAGAGAAATCTAGCTTCGTTTCCACGGGTGACGTTCCCTATATCCCTTTCGGGCTGAATTTATGATGGGCTGCACAAGTTCGGTACAATCCAAGAACCAAGCGGTTCATCCTTTGGTCTCCAGCTTGGTAAACAACAAAGTTTCAATCTCAGTTTCTGAAGAAAATAAAATCATTCTGCGAGAATCATGGAAAACTTTGGACCTAAGGAGAACCGCGGCAGGCAAGAAAGTATTCGCAAGGTAAAAACGTCTAAGATGTTGTTTCGAGCTAAGGAATAATTTTGTATGAGAAGCTCTGTGAGGTGAAAAATAGAGCTCAATCCGCAGGCGCTTTCTCTTGTCACGTTTTCGCGCGAGGTCTGGGAAGAGGGGAACGAGGCAAGCTTCTTTCGAGTTTTCCAGACCAATCACAGAGGCAAGTTACGTAAAACTTACGAAATCTAGGCTTGTTTAAAATACCCAAACGAAAATTGCTCTGATATCACCAAACATTTCTAAAGCGTCACGTATGGCATGTTAGAACAATTTTCATTGGAATGTCGAAAGTGATCCACAGAGATTATTTTGGTTTTGCCTAAATTCGGTCTGTGATTGGTCTTCTAAACTTACATTATCCTCTTAACCAATCAGACGCACAACGAAAACCATTCTTCACTTGGTCGCCCGCGTTTTCCCGCGTTTTCGATAGTTTGGCTGTTTCATTTAAAAGTTCATTGGCTAATGATGATTTAAACCTTTGTTATGATTGGATGTTGTGATTACTTTGGTTCTGGTTTTTTTAAATTGAAAACTTCTGTAAAAAAACGGATGATAAAGCTAATTCGGTTACAAAACTAATTTCTGTTTTCCTGAAGGCTTCTTGAACTGAATCCCAACCTCCAGGACGCATTTCCCTCGTTTAGAGGCGTGGCTTTGGACGAAGTTATGAATTCCCGCTCGTTGTTTCTGCATTCCAAGCGTTTAATGGCTGTAGTGGAGGAAACTGTGTTATCTTTAGATGATGCCAAAGAGCTGATTAAAGACCTTACGAACCTTGGGGAAAGACATTTAGCGATGTCTATCACTGAGAAACACTTAAAGGTAAGAAATCTTATGTACCTGAAAGCTACCCTGTTATTGTACGAGATGGCTCCTGTCATCAGTTCGTGGATAAAACTCTCGCGAGTGACCATTACAATGAATGAGTCTGAAAAATACTTACAGGTAGGACTGATCTTGGACATCTCAGAGATATTCAGAAGAATGCAGCATAAATTAACAAATTATTTCTGAAAGGTATCTGGAGATCTCCTTGAAAGAAGTAGTTCTAAACAAGCCCTAAGAGGTTAGGGGCTGGCGTTTGACCTTTCCAATGAAAACCTCTGATGGAGTAATACGTCCATGTGGTACTCTTCATTATCATGCTCTACGAAGTGGATTTGATGTTCAAGTCTGTGGATGGAATAGCAGTGTGTCTAATTAGAGCCAAAGAGCAAAATTTCCATATCTATTCTGCTGTACACTGTGGTTCCAACTACAATCGGCGACAAAATTTTTGACACATTGAACTTATCAACCCACTATAACTATAACTTGCCCTTATTAAGTTAACCTATTCGC